TCACGGTAGCGGGAGGGGCCAATCCCATCGCGGCCCGTTGCCGGGCAACGCCCGCGCGTCCGGCGGGCGTGTCTCGGTCCCTGGGGCGCTGCTGAGCTGGTGGCCGAGGCCAGGCTGCCCCCAGGGTCGCAGACGCGCGTTGGGAGCCGCTTCCCCGGCAGTGCAGAGGGGACGTGCAGGGTGGAGATAGCTCCCTAGAGCATGGTCCATTTTTGCACCGAGTAGAGGTCATGGAAGGACTGTGGTCGAGGGGAAGAGCGCTCCCAACGTTCCGGTGCTTTTCTGGACTTTCCGCCCCTCCCACCCCACTGCGCGTCTCGGCGTCCTTGCCCCCCAGCTTCTCGGGATCGCACGACGCCGCCTCCAGTATCTGACAGCGCCCACTGCCCGCCGGCTCGGCCTGCAAGTGCGTCCTCCCTGTGGCCAGACCCAGATGTCCCCTGCAGGCAATGGTAGGCGGCCAGTGGGAGACGCTGCCACCTGCGTCTGGGCACCCGCTGATCCGCAGCGCACCCCACGCGGGGAAGCCCAGTATCAGCTTCTAGCCTTCTAGCGTCTCAGGGGTTTGAGTTCTTGCTCCAGATCACGCTGACGTGTTTCATCCTCCTCCGCGGCTTACAGCTTGAGGAGTCGAGCACCGAGGAGGCGCCCGAGACTTTTCCTGGACATGACTCCATTATTCAGGGCTCTGGCTCCGTGTCTGACCCCTTGTCATTCTCCAGCTGTATTGTTTTCCGTCCCTTTTCTCTCTCTTTTACCCACCAGACCATATGCTGGAGAGTTTTTTTTAACTCTTCAAAGAGATTAAGATACTCTGACTTCGACATTCACACAGATCATTTAGTCTACAAGCCTCTTCAACAATGTGGCTTTTTAAATCACTTAATGAATTCAAGTGGTTTCTAGTTTTATCCTCATAAAACATTCACATCACTTGTTGACTAACCCTAGCTACAATTTTCCACAGCTCTTTGTAGTTTCTGAAATCTATTTTTTTCTATCTCCCATCTCTGGCTCCTTTTTTGTTCTCTAGAACTCCACAAAATTAATACGTACGATTTTACGATCGAATTTGTAAGTTTTCCAGTACTGTGTAACTTCAGCAAGAAACTTCTCAGCGACTTCAGCTGGCCTTGGCCTCCCTCTCCAGACGGTGTCATGGGCTCCACCAATCCTCAGCCAAGATTCCAGCCTAGATTGCCACAGCCAGCACCGTCTGTGGGGCCCAGAAGTGCTCCATTCCACTTTCTGTTTAGGTCTAGAGATGGGAAATGCTTCATGCAAAAGGAGCACTTTTACTGAATCTACCTTCATGTTTAAATATTCCTGTCATCCTCATCCCAGCACCTTGTGGCAAGGTATCAAGGCCCACATTTTACTGGCAAGAAAAATGTGCTGGCCTAAGGTTGGAGGCAGAAGAGATTCTAGTCCAGGTCTGTCTGTGTCTTTTCTGTGCCACCTCAGTGGTGGCAAGGCTTATTCTTAAGAGGGAGGTTAATTTAGGAAATGAAGATTTAAACGAAAAAAATCATACCCCTCAATGCATACCCATATATATGTACAAATGAGCCTAGGATTCATCAGAGACTGGCCTGGAGCGTTCGCAACTAGGCAGCCCTAGTCCCTCCCTTCACCTCAGCCCTGATGGCCAAGAGCTGAAGCTCTGTGAGGCTAATCGAGGCATGCACATGGATCGTGGCACCTGTGCTATGCCCTAGTGCAGTACTTAACCCACAGTCCTGGCCACAGACCGCTGCCATCCATTTGGGGGGGTGTCACCTGGAGTGCCAACACCACCTTGCCAAGATGTACAGCAGGAGCAGTGCCCACCTTCTGCCAACAGAAAGAGGCAGACAATCTCCCGCCCCTGGCTCTGCAGACCAGTCAGTAAAGTATTGATGTGCTTGCCACTATCTCCTCGCCTATCTTGGGATTCAATTCCCTCCTAACCAGATCTGTTCTAAGCCTTCCGTTTAGATGATGTCTCTGGGTGAAGAGAAGTGAACGGGAAGACATGGCTTTCTTCCCTAATATTGGGCCAGTCATTCCTTTGGTCTAACTTCTCCGAGCTAATTGGAAAAAATGCCTCTTTTATCATCCTTAGAATTTTTCTAAACATTGGCTCTAAACATAAGGTGCTAGTATTCCTAACAGTTTTCAGTCCACTATCTTGTTCATCAGTCTTCAGCATATAGTAAGCCCTCAATAAACACATGAAATAAATGGATGACCAAGTAGGTTATATGCCCTCATTCTGTCCTACGTACACGTGTGTCAACGCACGCACTCACAGACACATCTTGTATCATCTACCTCAACAGCTTTTCTCAGAAGACACTCGGGTTCATTACTTGTGTTTATCTTCTCAGCAGGACCACTATGGCACACTGGAGACCTTTCCTTTTCCAGTCACTTCCCTGCTGACAGCCTTTGGCACAGAATGCAGGGCAGTCTGTGTCCTGCTCTCTCCTTCCTTTTCAGCAAATATTCTTGTCAGAATTCAATACGAAAGCGAATGACTTTCCAGTTTGTATTTAACTCTGGCTTCTTACTGAGCAGTGGTCAATTTATGGAACACACGATGCTAGGTTAAAGGAGGTATGACCAAAGTCTTCACTAGCATTGGCCCCTGAAACTTCCTGCAATGATGGAATTGCTGTATCTGCCGTCCAGTGTGATGGCCACCAGCCACACATGGCTACCAAGCACTTGAAATGGATCCAGGTGACAGGAGAATGGAATTTTACATAATTTTAGTGAACTTAAATATAAATAGCCAAGTGGCTGTTGCTATGAAC